TTAATCCAAGAAGCTTGGGGGACACAGATGCAAATCACTCCTTTGGAGTGGAGCTATCAGTGTTTTCTGTGCCTGTCTGTTAAAAGGTACATCTACTAAAAATCTTTATTAGATGTTGGCTGTGTATTACTCTAATTTCACATCAGCTGCTTCCCCAAAACAGTTTTGCAACTTGTAGTCCTTAACTGTGATCTACATTAATCTGCATTACAGGGAGAGACTCCTACCAAACAAAATGTTAGCTTGGAGGAGGAGGGGGTGCCATGTCCTTCTTATCCCGCTTGTTTTACACCCATGTAACTTCATTTGCCTCAGTGGTACTGATCCAGGGAAGCAATTCAGCACATGAGCAGCTCCAAGACATAGTTTATGCAGCATGCTTAATGTTAAGTATATGCTTTGCTGGATTGGGACTGAGAAGCTCAGCACCCTGTGGGATTTCTGCCCAAGTGAAAAGAGAATCAGGCTCCTTGTACTTGTGGTCAAAAGCCATAAAACAGTCAGGGCAGTGAGCTGTATATTATTTATGAAAACATGCACAGTTTCATAGTATTCCCTTGGCAGTTAAGGCGGGGTAGGATGGGATGGAAGGAGCAGGTGGCCAGTTTAAAGCCTGGATTTGGGAGAGGACCAGGGTCAATTGCATTCCTATTGGGGGAGGGAGTGAGATGTGGAGAATATTGGGATGATTAGACTTACTTTTCCATTTCTAGAAAAGACATATGCTAGGCTTACAAAAACCTGTATTGTTCCATCTCTAGTGATGCAGATCCATTCAGCTTTCTGTGATATAAATCTATTGTTTTTGTTTAAAAAAAGGATGGTAACAGAAGAAAAAAAATCTCTCTAGTAGTTTAGCTCTGAGGACAGTAGGGATTCTGTCAGCTGAAGCTAAGTACAAAACTAATGATGCAGTGACATTTTAATGAGTGTAGTAGACAATGCAGGGCAACACTGCAGAAATGCTTTTTAGTCTGCAGACATTCATATTACATTTCACCTATTGTCACACTTTGAGTGGCACTGTAAATTAATTTGGCAGATAAATTTATGACAGCAATTTGCCTTCCAGATGTATAATTTATTCATGTCAAAAATAATTTATTATATTCTCCTTTAGACCCTTCTTTTTTCTGGTAGCACCTTAGTAAATAAAATTTATTGTTTCCACTGAGCCTTATGTGACTTCACAGTGGTCAGTCAATAACCACAGGGGGATAGTTTTGGTCACATTATTGGTCACTTATTTGGATGGATGATGGAGTACTTTGGTCCCATCTGTACATATATTACTTTCTTTTGTCTTAGGGGCACTTTTGGAAAGATTAATTAGGTCTATATGCAGGCAAAGATCAGCCCTAGGGGATTTAGGTAAATAAAATAAACACCAAGGGGAAAAACTGCTGAAGGGGACATTTAGAATATCAAAGTGTTTTTCTACAACACTGATAGGAAAATATATATATTGTGAATGAAGGAAAGCCAAAACTGCTTCTTAGTCTGGATCATTTTAACAGCAGTGTGATAAACATCTCTTGGTGGTGCCATGCTAGATTAAGAATGTATGCATATGCTTGAAATCCATGGACAATATCTCAGCTGACATAAATCAGCATAGGCACACTGAATTTAGCAGAACTACCACCTTACATCAGCTGAGGATATGAACCATGCCTGTCAAATGTGTTACAATTCTATCACTCATCTGAGTAAGTGATAGAACACACCATGTAAGCTAATCAAAATTTCCATTTATAGGCATTTTTTATTTAACATGGATTAAACACAAACTATGTAGAACTGCTATAATGTAAGTTACAACTAATTTCACTGCTTGCCTGATATAAGTAGGGCTTGTCTAGTACAATGTGCCCTGATTCCCCAGCATCTAAATAAGAAAAGGGAAGAAGGTAAAGGATCATTTTCCTCATCGAGGTCCAACTATGCTATGGGTGTGTAAAAGTGTAAAATTATGTAAAGGGTGTAAAAATGTAAAATAATCACTGCTTACAGACCAGTTTGTTAGAACGAAATAACTTTACTTAAGGATTTTGGGCCAAATTCTGCAACCAGATTGTTATTCCTTTTGATTCCTGCTTGAGTTGATAAAGATAGAAGGATGTGAGGAAAGGAATGGAATAGATGAAAGGAAAACGAGAATGACTTTAATATCATTAAAAAAGTAAAGGGAAAAAAGCCTGAAAGACAGAAGCAAAGAAAAATGAAAAGTGAGGAGAGAAGGGGAAATTGGCTTTCATGTCAGCTATGTATATTTCTGATCTTAAACAACTTATGGTCCCACTCCAACAAAAACTGAAGCAAGAGAATAAACTCAGGGCCTCCTTTGGGATTCTGATGTGTAGCTGTGTAATGCCGGATCCTGGATACAAGGCTGGGCCATGTTAACATGGTTTCAGTGGAGTCACACTGCCACAAAACTGGATTTGAGGGATGAGGGGGACTCTGCCACATCAGTTCCTGGGCTTTTTGATGGACAGGAAATGCTTTGTGTGCTTGCAAAGGAACAGTCACAGATGAGAGCTTTCACTTAAATTTTTCTTTGGCAGTTTTCAGGTTTTTACTGAAAAAATGAAGATCAAGATTTTTCAGATTTTGGCTGACAATTACCAAAAGTGTTTTGGATTTCTTTGAACAAAACAAGATGTCCATAACTGAAAAACAAACAACTCCAACAAAAGCTTCCACTTTGAGAAAAAACATTTCCATCAAAATATTTCAGACAAAAAAAAAATACTGTACTGGGTGTACTTTTAAGAGACAGCAAAGAAGGGAGATGGAAAATGAATGTCTATAGGAAAAAAATCTGAACAAATGCAGACAAAGATCTGTTTGTCATACTAGAGTCCTCAGTCAGGCCGAGGTTCCAGGGAGATGGTGGATCAGGCCTGCTCTATGGCTGGGGTGACTGCTTCTAGCAGGGCTGGAATGTCGGCTGCGACGCTCCAGGAAATAGACCAGAAGCAAGGGTGGGGGCGTTATTTTTTTTGGTGATAACTTTTATCGGACCAACTGTACAGCTGAGAGAGAGGTTAAGACAAATTTTGGGGACCAAAGTGGCCTTCCTCAAGCCTTGAGTCTCCATGTCTAGAAATTTCCCTGTAGTGGACACTTTTTTTGAAGTACTTCAGATAACCAACCACGTGGTTGTTTGGATTTCCCTCAGGTCCAGCTGCATCTGGAAGGCATGGTAGATTTGCAGCTTACAGACTAACCAAAGAACGTATATATGTATGTACCACATATGTGTATGTAGAGATAGGTAGGAAGACAGCTAAACAGACAGGCAGATAGATAGACACTGATATACAGCATAAGCACTGCCAGGTGTAGCTCACTACATCAGCTGAAGTGCCCCTGGCACCCTGGTGGCAGCCATTCAATCCTTCCTGCCTGACCAGAGCCTTTTCTTGAACCCCAGCAGAGCCTTGCCGCCTGCCAACCTGTCTCTCTCTCACCCTGGCCAGGTGAGTGGTGCCCTGCACTAGCCAGGCCATGGGGGCCCAGGCTGAGGGGCTCCCTGCTTCTCGCCTGCCCTGGGAGGGGGCACAGCTTCGTCCGCTGCCCCCGGGACCCATTTCAGGCACCGGGTCGACCCCCCGACCCTGGCCGCTGGGCGCGGGGTGCCCTCAGGCCCGGCGGAGCTGCCCAAGGTCCCTCGCCCCGAGCGTGGGGACAATAGCCCGGGCAGGGGGGCTTCTCCGGGACGCCGCTGCCCGGCTGCGGGGCGGCAGTGATGGATGGATGGATGGCGGGCGGGGGGCACGGAGGGCTGCGGCTGCCTGGCCCCCGGGGAGCGCGGCGGGGGCGGGGAAGAGGCAGCGGGGGGACGGGACTCGCTCACTTGGCGGCGCCGCGTCCGCCCCGCTCACAAGGTGCCCGCGCCACCACCAGCCCGA